CCATATCTCTGAGTTTTGAGTGGGCGCATGTCGCCAGTGTGCTGCGTTACTGTTTACATGTGTGAAAAGTGTGTTTGAAAACGAGTCTGATTGCACCATTGCATTTTCACCCATCTTGTTCTGATGTGCCCCCCTTCTCTCACCAGCTCTCTCTCCTCTTACCAAACAGTACTCCCTCCCACAAACAACTCCTCTCACCATGCCTCTTCATCTGACATCAGATAGTTTTCTTTTTCTTTTTTCTTCTTTTTTTTCATCCTTGTGCAGGGGCCACCGTAAAATCTGGTATTATTCCAATTTTACCTGTATCATTCCAATTTTACGGGATGTCCCAAAGGACAGGGAACATATTATTATTATCCCACACAGATCCCTTTTTTTTTTGTTCTCTTTTTAAAAGGCGTGACGGCTTGGAGATATAATCATTGAGCTGAGCAGCCCGAGGTCATTGAGAACTGCAGTATTTTACTCGTCCGCATCCCGCGGAGTTCGAACTCAGGTCTGTATTTCAACAGTTTAGGCGTGTCATACCAACTGCCCAAATTATTGCTCTTCCATAAGAGCCAAAAATTGTGGTCTAGCTCACAGTTGGCACACCCATTAACTGTTGTAGCAAAGACCTGAGTAGGCTGAGTTCGAATTACACTCTGTGGTAATCCTGGTAATATGACTCCGGGCTTAGACGGAGCGGCTTATAGACAAAGCGGCTTAGACGGCGCGGCCTAGACAAATGGCGTAGACGGAGCGGCTTAAATGGAGCGGCTCATAGACAAAGCGGCTTCGACAGAGCGGCTCATAGACAAAGTGGCTTCGACAGAGTGGCTCAGACAAAGCGGCTTAGACTCTGGGCTTAGACGGAGCGGCTTATAGACAAAGTGGCTTAGACGCAGCAGCTTATAGACAAAGTGGCTTAGACGGAGCGGCTTAGACGGAGCGGCGCACCTTATCTTATCGCAAGTCCCAGAGACAAGATTTTCCTATTTCGAAACAGTGCACAGCAAAGACCAGTCAGACCGGACTCAGTGTGACTGGTACTATGCTCTGGGTCGGAAAGTAACTGGTGCTATGTTACCTGTTTAAAAGAACGAACCCGGTCGCGAAATTTGACAGATGCATCCTTTTCTACCACAAGCACAGAGACGAAGGGGCCTGGCCCTGAGTAGAGGAAAGCGCAGCTGCACAACTGACTACCTCACACTCGAGAGAATTGCAATGCTGCCTGCCCACCACCTGCTGAGCACAATACTTCCCTTTCTTCTTGTTATTCCCCAAAAGGTCCCATTGTTATATGTTTTTATTTTTCAAAAGGGCACAATGCCCTCACATCATTCCGGATATGAGTTTTGAACTCACGATCTGTTTATCGACGCCAGATGTGCTCAACACTTTCTTATTCCGTATGCTTTTTTTTTTTCCAATTTGGAAGGCGAAAAGCAAAAGGCAAAGTTTCGTTTCCGAGAGCGGAGAATCATAACAGTGACAACAAATGTGTGAAGGACATTAAGACGTCGAATATGGACAAAAAAAAAAAGGCGGGGGAATGAAATTCAATAAATGAGAACCACATAAAGAAAGGCAAGTAAAAAAGATTTAAAAAGGCGAGCTGTCATCGTAAAACAACGAGGCAGATGAAGAGCGAGAAGAATGGAGGCACTTCAAAAAAACTGAAATGGGGACAAGCTGAACGCACAGGAATAGCGCACCGTAAGCATTTTTGCGAAATCAAAGGCTTGAAGAGGTGGGGCCGACCCAAACACACGGAACAATGGAGCAAGCAACGGCGCGTCGAGGACCTCCCCGGTTTCCACTTCCTGTATTAGTGGGTGCTGACGTCTTGGTGGAGACGGCCCAGAGTCCTCCGAACATCGAGCGAAACCCACAAGCAGCTGCTTTGTCCATGGTTCATGGAGCATCTCTTGCCTCTGGTATGCAAAACTGCGATCCGAACAGAATACATCAACCTGACAATTTCGCCCTCCACAAGGGAAAATGCACACAAGCCCGGTGTTAATTCATAAGCTGAGCAGAAAAGAGGACAACAAAAATACTCTTCATAAGCCTAACAACTCGATAGCCAAATCCACACACACACACACACACACACACACACAGAGAGAGAGAGAGAGAGAGAGAGAGAGAGAGAGAGAGAGAGAGAGAGAGAGAG